AGAATGGGGCCGCAAACATATTTTCTTACAATTTTGCTTTCAGCCTGGCATTTTGTTGTTTTCTGTTCTCTCTTTTCCTATATAATCTGAATTCCATTTTGCTTCTATAAATTAGCAACACCGAAAGTGCATGTCAGAATTTAAGATGGCATCACAAGGATCTGCTCAAGGACCACTGATCTTTAAAAATGCTTTTAAATCATCATGAAGTCACAAGGAATTTCACAAGCTACTTGCTCATTTAGTATCAAATGCAGTTTGACAATTGGGAATAGCCATAATTTTTTAAAGTACATATATTTTCTCTTTTACGAAGGAATGACTTGTAAACTTTAGTTGTTATGATTGCAATAACACCCAAAAGTACATTTTCTTTTTTGTACATTTCACTCAATGGTAGATGTTCATGCAAAATAATCCTCATTTGAAATCAAATGGAGTCACTGAAAAATCGGTGGTCTCAGAGAACAATGACATATCTTCTCCTTAATAACAGAAAGTCAGGAGACTAATAGAGAAGAATATTATTAATGTCATCAGCTATGGTTACTGTATCAGATGGTTTTGCTTATTGTTTTTTCTTTACCACAAGGAAGAGCTCTGTTTTGAAAGGAGATGAAGTAACTGATAGAAAGTCAAAAGACATCAATAAAACATATTTTAGGACATAATAAAATACTCTTTCATATAAAAGCTTTATGTTTTATGTTTGCCTAGTTATTATTAGAATGTAACCATGCCTCCTTGAGAATTGAATTTAATGTATTGGCTTAATTCTAACATGTTTTGCTCCATAAACAGAGAAAGAAGAAAAAAACCTATTTTTAAAAGGAATAAATATATGTAACTTACTGGTCCTTTGCTAGTAACATTTTCCTATAAATAAAACAGGTTTTTATAAGTTGCTTTGTTGGCTTCCTATAACTGGACACTATGGAAGATATGTTAGACACAGGCATTCTCTTCCTTTCCACATTAGCTATAGATCTCAACTTTTAGTTCAAAGCCTTGATCACCGCTGTAAAGTAACCTAATATTGAAGCTCAGGTCGTAGTGTTTTAGAGTTGGGTCTTTGAAAATTCACTTGAATCTACATTTCTCTGGCAAGCTAACTACTTGGGCTGTTCAAAGACTCCATGTTATCTGTGGAAATAAGACTTTGCATTTGTTTCCTGCACTACATTGAAAGTTTCTTGTAAGGTTTGTGTATGTGACTTCCCCCCACCAAAATGTCACAAATGAAGAAGATGTTTAGCTACACAAGTGATGAACGGGAAAGCAAGTTGTGAGCAACATCCAGGTGGCTTCTCTCAGATTGGACTTACCAAGATCAGACTTATGGTTAAAAGTGATCTTCAGAACTTTTCTTTGAATACTTAAATCATTTGCTTTAAATCTTTTTCTTAAATAACCTCGTTACACTTCTTCCTGTTCTGTCATAATATAAAATTCTACAAATTAAGTAAATATGCCCACCATGATCTATTCGTGGTCATTTAACTTCTACTGAAGGCTGGGTGTGGTGCTAAGCATTGTGGACACAAAAATCTAAAAGATATGGCTCTTTAATGGGTTTTAAATAGAGTTGGCAAAACAGAACATAAGCTTTCATATACATCTATTTAGTACATGTTACTATTTTCCATAACTTTTATTCAGTAGGAGTTTTTAACTCCCTGTACCTTCGTGTGTATATACATACATACATACATACATATATATATATATATATATATATATATATATATATATATATATATACACACACACACACACACGTATATACACATATATATGTGTGTGTATGTATGTATGTGTATATGTATGTATGTATATATGTGTGTTTGTGTGTATACACACACATATATATACATATATAAGTATACATATATATTGATATGTATGAATTTAATTTATATTTATATTTACATATACAGATACATATATATACACATACACATAGTTTCTTTACTGGGGCTCTTCTCTGTGCACAATCTATTTTTTAAAATTAGAAACAGTTTCTTTCTAGTCAGTTCTCTGAGTGAATGGTGCCCCCCATTTAAGGAATGCCCAGGCACTTAGCTATTTATATTTTCCCATAAAGACATGTCCCCATATACCCAATTTCCTGTGATTTTTTTATTGGGTACATTGATATAGGGTGGGAAACAGACTACATATCTGTTGTCCCCATATTAGCCTAGCAAAATTCAAAAAAGGCCCATCCCCAGGTTGGCCACAAGAAGAGAAGTTTTCCAGGTATGGAAACTTCTGAGGCTCCTATGTTATCATCCTGAAAGGCTTTCATCTAAATCAGGGGCCCTCACTCTGACACAATCAGATCCAAGGAGCCTTAGATCCACACCTTGGTGCAGAGCATCAGTTTTAAGAGTGGGGTTCAAGCCCTGTATGAGCTCAGGAGGCAAAAATATTCCTGAGCCTCCGAGGGTAACCAGGATAGACTCAGGAAAGAAAGGAGAAATCAGATGTGAGCTATCCTGCTGTCACTCATGTTTTCTGCTGCTTGGATCCAGATCCTTAGATAGAGAAGCTAGAGCTCTTTTGGAGGACCTGATTTTGTTCTGTAGGTTCAGAACAGAATGAAGCCTGGCCCCTGCAAGTCAGTCGTAGGTAATGGAGATTATGGATGAAGGAGGTGTGGGAGGGCTGAGTCCTTAGAGTTCATGATGAAGGAGAAATTTAAAGGGTAAGCATATAACAATCAATTGATAAACATTTATTAAGCACTTGCTAGGTTCCAGGTACTGTGCACTAGAGAAACACAAGCCTGTAACAATCAATCAATAAACATTTATTAAGCTGGGTACCAGGTACTATGCATTAGAGATACATGAAGCAATTCTTACCCTCAAGGAGCTTGCATTCTAATTATTGAAGATGGGGAGAGAACAAGTGCATAGTAAATATATACATCATAAATATAAAGTAAATAAATACAAATATGTTTCTATACACACACACAGTAGTTAAATCGTGAGGTAGTTGAGAAGGAAGGGTGCTAGTAGTTAGCAGGAATCAGGAACATTTTTATTCAGAAGATGATGCTTATCTTAGAAGAAAAAGAGGGATTTTGTGAGGCTGAGGTAAGGAAGGAGTGCATGCCAGGCATGTGGAACAGCAGGGCAAAGGCAGAGACAGAAGATGGCATGCCCTGTGTTTGAGGAAAAGAAAGAGGGCTGACCCTGTGTTCTGCCAATTACACAAGAACCTTGAGGGTGGGTACCATGGCTAGCAAGGACTAAAGCAGAGTGACCATCTCTGCCAGGACTCCAATTCTAGATCTCAAATCTGCTCTCTCTAGTTGGCTATGGTAAGAGAGGCAGAGTAGCATAATGATAGCTAGCTCTTACATAGCACTTACTATGTGCCAGGCACTATGCTAAGAGTTTTACAGTTGGAACTTCATTGGATCCTCTAACAGCCCTGGGAGGGAGGGAGGGAGGGAGGGAGGCAAGTCAGCTAATCTCTCTTAACCATGGAGCCAATTATAGCACCTACCTCACCAGGTTGTGCTGAGGCTCAAATAAGATAATGTATTTGCAAACCTTCATATACTCCAGCTGTTATCGAATTACCCATTTTATCATCACACTTTTTTTAAACTTTAATGTCTTGTCACTTGTTGCCGATGCATTACACATGCTTTCAGATTGATGAGGTACCAAACTTAACAAGTTCTGTTAAGTTACTTTTCACTAACGTCCAAACCCTTTCCATTTAAATTATGTCTTTATCCACAGAGGAGTTCATCTGGTGATGCCTCCTCAGCCCTTAAAGGAGCGGCAATAAGGATGGAAAAGCATGTTAAGTGACTCTTGTGTAATAACTTCTTGGTCACACAATGCCCTTTAGGCTGAACCTGTGATTTTCTTGGCATATGCACTTCCAATGCAGGAACTCTCTTAACTGATTCAGAGGCTACTTAAAGGCAATGAAATAGATAGGAAAGAAGAGTGTACATCTGTCCTATTCTGAGATCACAGGCCTCAGGTCCTGGCTGAATGCAATTTGTGACGTGCGACATGCCAGAGATCAGTCTTTTTCTTCCTAGAGTTTTAGAAAGGACGTTCCAAGAAGGGCTCATTGTAACTACCTGCAGGATTAAGTAGCAAAACTACCTTCTAAGTGAAGTTGATGTATGATAAAGTTCTTTGGGTCATGAATAAATAAATCACAGGAGACAGGTTAAAATCAAATACATTTTTTTTTGGTGAGGCCGTTGGGGTTAAGTGACTTGCCCAGAGTCACACAGCTAGTAAGTGTTACATGTCTGAGGCTGCATTTGAACTCAGGTCTTCCTGACTGCAGGGCCAGTGTTTTATCCACTGTGCCACCTAGCTGCCCCCTCAAATACATTCTTCAATGAATTGTGTCCCCTAACAAATGATGCTATAATGAAATTTCCATATATTACAAATATGGCTGACCTATAATCCTACACAATTTCCTCATTTATTTTTAAATAATAATGAGACTGTAGGCATTCCATGGAATTGTATAATTGGGTAGCAGCAGAGTTTCAGCATCTGGAGTCAGAGGACCTAGATCTGAATTACTGTTCTTCTACTTACTTTCTGTGAGACCTTCAGCAAATTATTTAATTATTTGTGGGTCTCATTAGCCTCATTCATAAGATGGAGAGGTTGGATTTGATGGCTTCTGAGATCTCTTCCAGCTTTCTATAAAACAATGTTTTGGTAGCAAAAATATAGCAGATGCTATGTGTGGCAATCTTATAGCCAATTGGCCTATAACATTCTACCTAGGATAACTGATATCCACCCCAGAGTTGGGAGACAGAATTGGTTGTAAGGGAAGGCAAAGCTATTTGAGGTCAGGCATTAGTAAAAATTTAAAGGTGCACAGTAGAAGTTGTGCCTCATTCAGAAATCAATGCTGTTCCCTAAGTGGAACAAAGGGCATAGGATCATCAAGTGGTAAATAGAAAGGAATCTCTTTATATGTTTTTCCTTTTCTAGCTGTGTTCCCTCAAGGTTACTGTCATCACCTTCTGGACTAAAAGAAATCATCGGATGATTACGGTGCAGGAGTGTTGATGTATCAGAAGCCAGCTTTTTTTTGCCTTCTGGGATCATATATCATAGAAGCAGTTTGCCATAATAGATCAAGGTATCTGAGAGTTGGGGTTCAAATCCTGCCTCCATCATAGCTGTCACAGCTTTCCACTAACCATGGGCAAGAAATCTACACTTTGATTCCTAACACCTTCCGCCAGGGGACTTTAAATTATAGGTGAGTGGTCAATCTGCATCAGTTAAAAGAGTTCCCATGTTGGAAGTCCATATGCTAATAAAATTACAGGTTCAGCTTAAAAAAATCATACTTTATAGATTTGAAAGCACATGAAATGTTCTCTGTGAAACTTTCTCAAAGAACTCTTGTTCAGAATAGCAGAGAACTCTATCCAGAATTCTTATCAAATAGTCTGAGGAACATTGTATTAGAAAATTAAATGTTGATCTGCTACTCTATTCTTCGATTTATAGATATTGTGGCTGAACAAGACTCATGTTTTTAAATTATATCTTATTTGTGCCAGATATAATACAGCTGTCATAGTATTTTTCCCATCTAAGTTGAAGACTTTATCCATAAGGTATAATGAAAGCCAGGTCTCTTTAGCCAATGATGAAATCTCATTCCTTCTAAAGAAGCGGTTCCCAACCTTTTAAATTTCACTTTATTTTTTGTTTGTTTTTGGACAACCTTATTTTCCAAGTGTATGCCTTCTCCCTTCCATATACAGCAAACCACAGTGAAAGGGAGAGGAATTGGACTGGACCAGTGATTTCATTGGGATATAGAATTCTCAAGGGAGAAGATTCCCTCCATCACTAGATCAGCATCTCTGTGCAACTCAAAAGAAAATAATGATGTTAATAATAATAATAATAATAATGAAAAGGAGGTGGATAGACCAATATACCAACCGAGCCTGATGGGATATGCAATTCTTCATGCCCATCCTCCTTTCCCTTTGCAAAGAAGAGAGGGAGACACATTTTTTCTCATCTTTTCATCAGTGATGAGTTTGATCATTTTAATTACGCAGCATTCATTTTGGGACTTCTGTTGTTTCCATTTACATCACTGTGGTCCTTGTATATATTATTTTCCTAGTGTGGACTCTTTCTTACCATAAGCAAATCATCCAACCCCAAGCTTGCAAGCAGGTGCACTATTAGTGTCTAATTGATTGAGAAAATATATAATGGCCAAAAAAGACTGTGAGTGCTATGATACTTTTCCAGGTTTTTTTTTTTAATTTTTACTCATCGCAGCAGCACACACATATAACAGTTGAAAAAATAGAAATGCTTGTATGTGACATTACTAAATCTACATCAGGATATGTTTACTTATTTATGTATTTTCAAACCCTTTACAAAATCTGCGGTCCCTCAGGGTTGCGAAGCATAAAGATGTATCGTATTGTTGACAAAAATAAGTTATACAAAGTCAGAAAATATTGTCTGTATTTATTCTTAACATTACTTTTATATATTCATAGCATGTCCCTCGATTGAATGTAAGCTTCTTGAGAGTAGCCTATATTAATTTTTGTCTTTTGTATTCCCAAGGTGTCACATAGTGACTGTAATAGTAGGGTCTTAATAAATGAAAATTGAATGACTCCAGGCAATGATCTGTTGATAGATAAAAGAACTCAGCGGGATAAAAAAAAAACTATCTGGACAGTAGGAAAAAAACTAGATGATTGACAAATGGTTTTCTCTTTGGAAATCAAATATTTTCACCATCAATCCTTCCACCATATTCGTTAGGCACTGCCAATCCAATTCCACAAGCATTAATCACTACAGACAAGAAACAGAAATAGGTTGAAACAACACGCATTTATTACTACAAATAACAAATAGAAGTAAGATGGGACAACAAACATTTGTTACTATTTGCCGAGCACTGGGTACATAAAGATAAAATGAAACCCAATTTTTGCCTTCAAGGAATTTGTACTAGGCAAATGGCAAGAACCTTGGAACTTTTGACCTTCAAACTCAACATACTGCCTACAGCAAACTTCCAAACATCCAAGAAAACATCAGAGTTAGGATGCTTTTGTCTCCGGGATGATAAAAGCATTTTTAGCCAGCTTGGAGAATTCAATTTATCCAGATTTTTCATAGATAAGGAAAGCTTTGAATCCTGGGCATTTTTAGAACTGACCTTACACATTAAACATCCTGGAAGTTGACTTGGAAAGCCATCCAAAGCTTATTGACCACTGTAGGACTCTGAGCCCTAGCAGATTGCCACAGTACTGTTGATTTAATCTAGGGTGATGCAATTCAAAGAATTTAGCTCGTAAAGCCAAAGGACTTCTGTTGAAATCCGCTTACAGCAAGTGAGGAAGATCCTGTTGGTATATTTAACAGAACAGATGAAATGTTCTCCCTAGTTTTATGTACCCCCTTGGTTTTTAGAGGGTGGGGAAGGGACGTGAGTGTTGCTTTTAGTTTAAGGTACATTTTTCTCAAAGAGGTGCCATGTTCGTGTATTTCTTAACAGAATTCCTAACGTATTTGACAAATCTTTTTTTTTTACAACTTGGTTTTTCCCCATATAGTTTATTCCCTTTGTGGGGAAGGGGGGGAGAGAGCAGGGAAGGGAGGAGACAGAAGGATTAAAATCTCTGATTGCATTGGTGTGAGGAACTTTCGACATACAAATTCCCTCTGTTGACGCAGCTTAAGTTATTGAGAGATTAAGCAACTTGATAGGTGTCAGAGGCAGAGTCTGAACCCAAGTTTTCCTGACTCTGAGGCTGTTTCTCTAGCTACTATACAATATTGCGTGTTACATACTCCCTAGGGATTGGGACAGCTCGGTGACGCCATAGTGCGTAGAGTGGTGAGCCTACCGTCAGAAAGACTCATCTTCATGCTTTCACATCTGCCCTCAGACCACTTACTAGCTGTGTGACCCCTGGCAAGTTACTTCACCCTATTTGCCTCAGTTTCCTCATCTGTAAAATGAGTTACAGAAGCAAACCACTCTCAGTATCTTTGCCAAGAAAACTCCAAATTGGATCATGGAACGTTGAACACAACTGAACAAGACAAATCTCTAGTTTGTGTCCTTTCCCCTACCATTGCATGTGTATTAATATGTAAACTAATATTTGGGTTTTTGGTAGATTTTTTGTTTTTGCTTTTTAAGTTAAAGTTTCTTGCTTTTTAAAAATGATCAAGAAAAGTACTGTATGTGACCTTGTTGAAGTAATTTTATCCATCTGGGCCTCAGTTTCCTTATCTATAAATCAAGAGGGTTGGAGCAAATGACCTTTGAGTTCCCTTCCAGCTCTTAAATCTGTGCCATTCTATTCAGACTTGTAGAAAACTGGATGGGAAAGGATACAGATTTATAGCTGTCTTTTGTGACACATTTTTCAATATTTTTAATAGGCAAAGCAAGGAAGAATTTAGCAGGATTTTAAGGAATTGCTCCATTTGTTTAACTACTCACTTTTTTCAAACTACAAACTTCGATAAAATGAATATGAAAATAATATGAAAATATTGTTATAGCTGTATAATTGTTTGAATTTATAGAATGCTTTAAAGTTTGCAAAATGCTTTCTGCTTTTATCATTTGATTAGATATTCAGATAGCTTCCTTCCAACTAGTATTGACTTGACTATTCTATTACTTAGTATCATGAAAGGAACAGTGGATTTAGAGTCAAGGGACCTGGATTTGAAGGCCATCCTTGCCACTTATTAGCTCTGAGACTTCAAGCAAGTCACTCCAGCTCTCCGGTCTTTAGTTTCCTTCTTTGTAAAATGAGTTTTGACTAGGTGATCTCTGGGGTCCCTTCTACTTCTGAATCCTATGATCTTAGATTTCGACTTTTAAAAGATTTTCAAAATTTAAAATCCATTTATATCATTTTGTTCATGACTCCGTTTTTCCTCTATGATGCAATGGAAAAACAGTCCTCATTATCGTCTCTACTACTGTCAATAATGGTAGTTTAATTTAATCAGCAGCTATTTTTACTAACAAAATTCCTTTTTTTTCCCCTCACATGCCATTGTGGTGTTTCTCGGTCTCCATATTTACACCAATATGATCCCATTAATAGAATGTCAACCTCAATTACTTTTCAGTCACTCATACCTAGTGATTCAATTACATTTGGCTCCTGGACTAATGGTTATGTGTTATTCAAGACAAGAAATTAAAAATAAATTTATCTCTGAGTCATTGAAGCATTAAGTGTTTGAAATATCTCAATAATTAGCTGAGAGGGGAGTGATGTGTATGGATTCTTTTTCTCCAGGCTCTGGAACCATTATCTAATGGTTCACTCTACAACTCTTTTCAGTGTCAAAGTATGACTAGGCATGGGAAAAAAGATTTTCAAATGATGGGTATTTTTTGTATATGACTTGTGACATCCTATAGATGGGAGTGCAGAGCAAATTCTAGCAAATTCACCTAATGAGAAGACATATTGTTCTATAAACATTCTAAATCCTACTATAATATTATGGAATAGTATAATGTTCCATTCTAAATAACCTATAAACATAATAAAAGTGCTTTAATCAAAAGCTTGATATATCTGTGCCCTAATGGGTAGATAGATTGCTAGATTTGGAGTCAATAACATCAATATTTGAATCCTACCTCAGACACTTACTAGCAGTGTGATCCTAAGAATAACTTTTCTCAACCCCAGTTTCCTCATAAATGGTACTGTTGTTAGTATTAAATGAGAAGCTAGGTAGTGCCATAGTGCATAGAGCGCTGGACCCAGAATCAAGGAGACTAGTTCAATTCTGGACTCAAGCACTTAGTTCTATCTGCCTCAGTTTCTTCATTTATAAAAAATAAATAGGGGGCAATGAGGTGGCGCTGTGGGTGGAGCACCAGCCCTGAAGTCAGGAGGACCTGAGTTCAAATCCGGCCTCAAACACTTGAAATTACTGGCTGTGTGACCAGCAAGTCATTTAACCTCAATTGCCTAAAAAAATTAAAAAAGAAATAGAAAAAAGAAATATTAAGAGCACTTACCTTACAGGGTTATCATAAGGATAAAATGAGATAGAATTTGTAAACCTAAGAGCATTTACCATATGCTAGGCATAGCATTTGCCTTTAAGGAACTAAATATTCTGCTGGGAGATGCAGAAGATACAAAGATGAGGAAGACACAAGTTAAGTGACTTGCCTAGGGTCACACAGCTAGTAAGGCTCTGAGGCTG